TTTTTTTTTTTTTTTTTAGTTTTATTACACCTTTATACTATCCGAATTACTTTGTTATCTTCGAATTACTGTTTTTGTGTCTCGAGTCATCGATTTCATATACTCGGCTAAGCAGGTGGTGGTTATCTGATTACCCCTATTCAACACGGCAAAGAATGTGTAATAAAACACATGCTAGCCGTCGATTGGAAGTTATGGAAATCCTACATCAAGAAAGCTTCCTCAAGATCCATAACTATTCGTATGCTTTGCAAAGTCGCAGGTTAACTATTTGCGTTTTATTTTCATTTGGCCAAACTGCAATTTTAGTCCCGCTGGTTAAACGCCATAACAATTTTAGTGTCAAGGTTCTAACATTTCGCTTTTTGGTCATGTAGTTTAATATTTGCTGCAATTGCAACAAATTCCCAAATTTCCAAATTTTCGATTAGCAATTTAAGTCTGTAATTTAAAATTTTGTTGCAATTTTAGTCGTAAAAGGACTGGACCCAAATTGCAGCAAAATATTAAATCACAGGACCAAAAGACGAAAAGTTTGAATCTTGGGACTAAAATTATTATGACGATAAACCAACAAGGACTAAACCGGAGATCGATCAATAATTTATATTTTTCCGGCAGCCTTGAGAGAGCTGTTCAGGGCAAAATCGGGAATTACCAATAGCCACGAGTATTTATCGGGGGACATTGGTGTCCCGGAGAACAAGAAGGAAACAATCAAGACTCAGGTCAGTTTCAAGAGGTTACAAAACGAGCCTAGTGAGGATTTGACGATTTTCAGGCAGCACTCGACTGGCTCGAGCCTCATGGCACTCAGTGATGCGGCCGATGAGTTCTTTGACGTGCCTGAGCCGTTGGATGACGAGGGCTTGGACAGCGATTGGCATGGAAGCTCAAGTGCCGAGTATGGTTACACGGTAATTTTTTNNNTTGATTTTGGTTGAAAAACTTAATTTTAGTTCTATGTTTTCTAATGGAATTGGAAAATCACTAAAATTAACACAATCTTGGTTATTATTAGATTTAGATTAGTGTAGGGTAGATAATCCGTGCTTAAAAACACGCTTACACAATCATCTGTGACGGGACCGTAGTCATTTCCCTTAATTTTGGTTGAAAAGTCACTTAATTTTTTCTTTGAATGTCGCGTAAAAGTCACTCGAGCCTGCTCATAGTAGGCTTGCTTATGGAAAACAGGACAAACTTCAGGCTTCGGCATGTTGTTCAAATCAACACTTAAATTTCTGTTATTCTTACTTTGGATTTTCGGGAGCTACTTTTTAAAAACCTCATCGTTATGTTTTTCTTTTTTTTTTTTTCCTTTTTAAGGAACAAATATTTGCTGCAAGTGAATGGACACTACATTAATGTCAAAGTACTTTACTCCACATTTTGTAATATGTAAAAATAAATCAAACCTTCGAGGTTTTAACTGTATCCTTTTGTAATAAGCATCATTATTTTCGACACATATATAACAACGTGATCAAAATTTACACGGCCAATAACATGATTTTTTTTTAACCAAATATGCAGGAAGCCTACCAGCCGAAATTATCTTCCGCTGCCATATTCGTCAAGAAATTGCATGATTTTGCAGGAGGTTAGTTTCATGCAGCAACAACTTAAAATTTTTCGGACGTATAAACATTTCTATTATAGTATAAAAAATAATTACAATAATAATTCTTTGTAGTCCAAAAGAAAGGTTACATGGACTTCCAAGAGATATCTCGGGAAGGAAATTTGTCGCCAAATTATGGCTCCACACTTCCAAAAGATTCGACTTCTAACATACCGTGCACCTGGTCCGCGTCTGATCCTTCCTTGTTCCTTATTCGTGGTGATAATTATCTAGTCGACAATCTAAAGGTATTTCGCTTTTTTGCTCGGAACTTATAATTATTAACTCTATCTATAACATTTGGTCAATGCTCGTGAGAATTTTGATAAGGACTACATTCGGTATATGAGAACATGACAACTCTATGGAGTTATTTTTAACCTTATTTACTTAGTAAGGAATTTGTTTTTATTAGATTAAGGCAAAAGGCACTTTACTGCAAATGGTTGGTGCTGATTGGCTGAGATCTGACAAGCGAGAAGATGATCTTGCTGGCCGATATGGTAGCATCGTTCAGGTTCGGTGCATCTACATTTTTTTATTTTTTTTTTTTTGAAAAAATTGACACAAATTTTATCGGTCGATAATTTTTTACGCAAGTTTGAATCAAAATTTTACAGAAATCGCTTCCAAAAAAAAAAAGAAAAAAGAAAATAAAAGTTGGCAAAAATGCATTTTTAGTCCTGTTGGTTTAAAGCCATAGCAATTTTAGTCCCGATGTTCCAATTTTTCGTCTTTTGGTCCTATAATTTAATATTTTGCTGCAATTTCATTCCTTTGAGTACTGAAATTGCAATAGAATTTTAAATAAATTGCAACAAAATTTTAAATTATATGACTTAAACCAAGAGGACTAAAAATGCAGTTTAGCCAAAAAAAATTAGGTGAACTTACTTATGGTGTGTGTGTGTGTGGAATTAATAGGTCCCGGGTTCGGCCACGTACAATTTGGCACTATATTATATGCTAAAAACTCCCTTGGAAGAAACACCTCTGCTCGAGCGCTTTGTGAATGGAGATGATGCTTTAAGGAATTCGAGGTTCAAACTCATTCCGTACATCTCTAAGGTTCGTTTATATATCTATTTTCACCCCAATTCTGAACGAAACTTTTGTCACGAGTAATAATAATGCTACTAATGATCAATATCATCAACAAGAATTACAATTTACTCTTTCGTAGTTTTTTGTAATTATGGACTGACCGAAATCTTTTATGAAGTTTCAACACATCTTTCGAGTGCGGTTTTGTAATTTACACTTATCTAAATGCATTTTTTGTTTTCTTTTCAAGTGTTACGTTACGTTTAAGTTTTTGCAGGGATCTTGGATTGTGAAGCAGAGTGTGGGAAAGAAATCTTGCTTGGTAGGCCAAGCCCTCGAAGTTAATTACTTTCGCGGCAAAAACTATTTGGAGGTAAGTTTAGCGAAAACTCTATAGGCCCTTGTCGACTTTTTTGATCATGTGATTTAATATTTTAATGCAATTTCAATCATTTGAGACTAAAATTGCAACAAATTCCCATATTTACGATCGTAATTTAATATTCTCCTACAATTTTAGTTCTTCAAAGACTGAAATTGCAACAAATTCTCATATTTACGATTATCAATTTAAGTTATGTAATTTAAAATTTTGTTGCTTGTAAAAATATTATATTATGGGACCAAAAGGCAAAAAATTGGAATCTTGAAACTGAAATTGATATGATGTTAAACTAAGAGGACTAAAAATGCATTTTTTCCTTTGGCATTTATTTTCGTAGACGAACACACTAACTTGAAAAATGAAGCCAAAAGGACTTTATTCGTTCATTTCATCAATTGACTCGACTATAATTTTAATTATTAGCTCGGCATTGATGTTGGCTCGTCAACTGTGGCGAGGGGTGTGGTTAGTCTCGTGCTCGGTTATCTCAACAATCTCGTTATAGAAATGGCCTTCTTGATCCAGGTAAAAGTCGAGATCCTCCAATTCTTAATATTTTACGATTGATTGTCGTGTTTGAGCATATTTAATTTATGAACTGATAGTTATTTTTTTTTATGATCATATGTAGTTTGATCTAAGCTTAACATGGGATTTCTGCAGGGAAATACAGCAGAAGAGCTGCCCGAGTTCCTGCTCGGGACTTGTCGACTTAACTATCTCGATGCATCAAAGTCGGTTTGTACCGACTCAATTAGCATGAGCTAAGATAGGAAAAGGTATATATACATAAGAGTTTTAAAAAATTAAATATTGAGAGGAAAAACCATAAAACTGATTCTTGATCATGCATGTTTTATTAGTTTTTTTTTTTTTTCTATAAACTTTTTATATATTTTTTTAAAAACATATTTTGTTGGTTTTACTTTCCTGCCCTTCAAATTGGGATGTGTATACATATAATGTTTGTTGTTGTGAATTCTTTCAAGTGTTTTGTTTTTACAATGTACATTATTTATTTTGATATTATTATGTATTTTTATTTGTAAATTAGTGTGTTGGGGCTCTTTGCTGGAACAGTTTGTCTTTTTGTACCAACAGTCAGAGTGAAATAATTTACTTATTTTTACAGGTGCTTGAATGTTTTCAGCAAATTAATTATATGCTGGTCACAAACTCAAACTCAACAAAAATTACAACTTAAAAAGATACAAGATCTTGATCAGAAGACATATTATATGTGATTACAATAAGTGAAAAGCAAATTTAAAAAAAAAAATAAAAATCAAATTAAGTTAGTCAAACAACTCCCCATATTTCTGACATTTTCACGGACAGCTCTTAACTCTTCTGTAAATTACCTAACTTGTGATTGTGACGTGATAATTTGTCTCGTTTTCATGCTCCTTATTCCAGAAATGAAAAATAAACATTACATAAAATTCAGAAGATTTTCTGAAAATATTCTAATTTTAAATTCTGTATATTGTAACATTTAAGTCATTTGTACTTTTTAATTTTTCTTTATATATTGAAAAAACTCAATCTTGTAATCTCCCAAAGGATGATTCCTTTCCTAAGATATAAGGGTGTTTTGTATGTTAAGTGACCTTATAAATGTCTGGAAA